TTTGGTTATTAGTTCAATTAATGTAAGTGATGGAAGTATTTTCATTTTATGTATCATTAAAACTACAAATAACTACAAATTTAATATAGTAATTGAAACTCCAAAGTTTTTTTATATTATATTAATATACATGAACAAAGAAAATTATTACATTCATACAGTGGTGGATCCAGGGGGATGGAAAAGGGGGCATTTGCCCTCCCCCAATAACCGTAGTTTTCCTTTGTTTTACACTGTGTTTAGCCAATTTTGGAACTTTCATATACTTTTGAGCCCCCCATGCCCCTCCCAAAATTAAGCCCTGGATCCGCCACTGCATTCATATATATTTTTATGCCCGATGTGTTGGTGAAATCTGAATTTACTAATTCTACTTACTATTTATTTACAATTACAAAAAAAGTAAGTAAGATAGGTAAATTATTATTTGCACCAACACGTTGAACATATAAATATCAACATTTAAAAAAAAATGTAAATCCTTAGTATGATTTTTCCAAAAATAGTACCACTATTATATCATGCATTAATGTATCAATAATATTCTATTCTTTGGTAATATTGAAATTTATACATTATTGTAGGCATGTAACCTATTATTTAAACTGTTTTATAAATTATACTTTATAGGTATTTAATAGTATTAGGTATATAATAAACAATTTGATTTGTAGGTTACAGTATAAATAGAAAATTAATTTCAATATAAAACACCACATTAAAAAAAAAGATAGGTATATTCTGATTTAATCAACACGTTGAGCATAAAAATACTAAAATACTAAAAATTCCGAAAATTGCTTCGGAAGTAAAGAGCTATAATATTTGTTCGTATACTGCATACTAATTATTATAATTATTAATTACTAATTATTTAAAGAACCGACCTTCTTAGCGCTTCCGGTGAACGTTTTTCGCATTAAATGCCGTCAAATTACTACTCACTTTCATGTCTCATCACATCTCAATCTACATCATGCTATAATAAGATTATAAGCACTCGTTATCACCGCGGTATCGCTTGTGGTTCGCTTAAAGTTGGACAACATAAAATCATCGTGCACTGTACATCGAGCACTCAATGTTTACATAATATTCATTATATAAAACTGTATTATAATATTTTTTTAAAAACTTTGTTATTTTGTAAGAAAACTTGAGCCCGCAGGAGGGGCAGCTGCCCACCCTGCCCCTCCCGTGCGCACGCCTATGGTGGGGGGGATGGTTGTGAACCTAAAAATTTAAAATAGATGCGAAGCGCTGTCGGGCCCCCCTGAGTAAACGATTAGCGGCCCTCTAAGGGGCATTGTCCCGGCTGCCCCTGCGGTTGTTTCGGCACTGATTATAATATAATAATAATAAACTTCAATATAAATTGGTTGTATCAATGCTTACTGTTAGATCGATAAGGTTTCTGAGAAGCAGCGATTCTTATATGTATTTAGTTTATATAAATCTACAATATTTCAGCAGCACATATAGTTTGGCATAATCGCATAATCTCATAAAGTTTCAAGTCCTTATGATTTTAAACTACCTATGATAAATTAATAATACAATTTTAGTTTTTTGTTTAATTATAATTCAATTGTAAAATTTTAACTCGATATCAATAAAAAAAAGGTGGGTAAGTGGATGTCGCTCTGCTGTAGAGTAGGTTACAAGTGGGTCACTGGTCACTGTATAATGGATGGTATTAAATTTGAATTCAATGATAAAATATCATTGTATAAGAAAAACGATTCTGAGCGAAGAAGGTATGTCAGTCTAGGTTTAAGATATATTATATACATATCTATGGTATTAAAAAAAAATTGACCTATAATAAATTCCAAATTAATCATATCACAATATCCACTAGGTACTTATAACACGTTATACATCGATAACAAACCCTGATACTATCATTGATATATAATATAGTGTACTTTAGAAGTTTCAAGTACCCACGAATAGTATTATACACTCACAACAAAATAACTAAAATAGCTATGCTAGGTTTTTTAATATGTAATTTCGTCCCAAATTTGAACTTAAAATGTCTGTAAAAAATAACTGTGCTCATATATTTTTTAGATTTTTTGGCTACAGTATGAACTATTTATGAAAATCTTTTTTTTAAATTTTCAATCCTTAATTTTCAAGCTTTCGCAACCAACAAATAAAATTTTATTGCTATTTTTAGAAAAAAAACTAAAAAAAAATGGAAAATGAAAATGTCCCTAAACAGTTCAAAATAAATCAAAATATTTTGAAAATGTTATCGTGTATAGAAAATGCAAAAATAAACAACCAGTGAAAATTTCATGTATATACGTTCATTTGTTTTAGAGTTACACCAATAACCAAAATCGATTTTTTGGAAAATCAATTTTGCGTAAAAATTCCCGTTTTTCCTTAATTTTTATGTTGTTTTTCCCGGCGCTTGTGAAAACTACTGGGAAATTTAAATTTTGACCTCCCCAATGCACCAACGATATTCACTTTCCAATCGAACAAGATACTGAAGTCGAAAATCGAAGCATTATTTCGACTACTTATCGTGTACACAGATACAAAAAAAATAAAAAATAAAAAAATAAAAAAATAAAAATAAAAACACACATCATTGTAAAATCAATACATTCATCGTTTCACTCAGAATCTAAAAAACTAAAAAAATTAAAAAATGAAAATATCCGTAAACAGCTCAAAAAGAGTCAAAATATTTTCAAAATTGTATGGTGTATAGGAAATGCTAATATAAACATTCAGTGAAATTTTCATGTATCTATAGTTATTGCCTTATTCGTTTATGAATAACAACAAAATAAGGAAATCGCTACATGAGAAATCGAGTGAACATCCAATGTTGTAAAAATTTGAATTTCAAACGCTCATAAAAATTTAATTTTACTGTCCGGTAGAGATTTTTTTATTGATAAAGGTAGACAAACTTATAAGTAATCTTGTATACATTTTCAAATCTTAGATTTAAAAAGAAAAATTTTTGCGAATTCTTAACTCAAAATAATTTGCTAATTTTCGTGATTTTCGTGACTTTTGCATTCAACATTTCCTAACGATGAGTCGACGCCGTAAAAAAACAGTATACTGCTTGTAACAGTTCAAAAAAATTACAGGCTTCTTCACAACAATTTGCTGCACAACTACCAACCAAATTTAGAGAGTGTGCAGCACACGGAGAATACTCAGCTAGTGGATTAACCTCCTTGATTCTTGCCGTTCTTACGTTCAAAAACCCAATCTATTTATAAATAGTATGTTAATAATATAATTTATATTATTTTCCGACAAACTGATGTTAACAATATTATACCTTTTCGATCTATAATAATGTTTTTAATAGAAGGTTAAAATTATGTAAATTTATTTATTTTTTCTCAACAGTTAATATACAATAATAATTTATCAACATCATTTTGCCGCCCCCTAAATGGAGTAAACAATTTGCCGCCCCGGGCAACAAGGTACACTTGCCCCCCCCCCCCCTCAAATACGGCCCTGTATATACTGCAAGTGTGTAAATATAAGATTTAATATTTGAATGTATAGTATGTTCCCATATCGTAATATAGTAGTAAAAACAACAACAATGCGGTACGGTAACTGATACAGAAAAATATTATTATACTACCTAGTACCTAGGTACCTATTAAATATTAATAATACGTATCTATATTGTATCAATAAAACAATTGATTGACTTGTGGGACCTAACCAGCAGACGGTGCATATTAATTTTTCCTATTGTCTGTACAGTTGCAGTAGTGGATAGCTCCACGCTTACCTTTCACCGTGTGACAAGACAACACATGGGTTCATATCTTTGCATTGCTTCCAATGGCGTGCCACCGACAGTCAGCAAGCGCATTACTCTGATCGTCCACTGTAAGTCTCGACATTTGAAAATAATCCATACGACAGGGGCGTCTTCAGGTCAATTCCATGGGGGGGGGGGTATACTCTTAAATACCACTTTGATAAACAAAATATTTAAACCTATTTGTTTGATGTAATATCGTACAAAAACAGAAAATTACACGTCTTACGGGAGGGGCGATCGCCCCCCCTCAGGGACGCGCCGGCCATACGATATGACCATAATATTATAATACTGGTTCAACTCAATTAATTTGTACTTACAATTACTCGCGATATATTGCAGTCGCTCCCATGGTTTGGATTCAAAATCAACTGGTCGGTGCTTTTGTGGGAGATCGATTGTCAATATAATGTCACGTCGAAGCATTCCCGAAGTCCATAAATTATTGGTCGTCAGAAAACGGAAACTTACTGACTCAAGGACCAAGGTAGATATATAATTTATACCTACAGGTTTTAACGTTTTATCATAGATATAATCATTATTCTGCTATAGGTACATAGTAAAACTAATTCATTATTATAATATGATTAGAAATATAATATATAGATTATTATAATATGATTGCCAAACTAATAAAAGTTGGTTTTATAACTAAATAAAAAATAAGTGTTTACAAAAAAAAAATTCTATCTAAATTTGCATTAAATGTGTTTTTTAAGCATGGTATTATTTACCATTCACCATTTCATTTAGATATTTTGTAAATATTTATTTGATTGGCCCAAATTAGTTTCACTATTATCTTTAAGATTTTAAAATGTCACAGATTACAATGCAAATTGAATTACAAAAAATATACCTATAAAATAACAGTTTCATCTCCAATAATGCTGACCTATAGGCTATAACAGATAACTATATTAGATACTATAATAAAAAATATAACAACAGGTTTATAAATTAGTTTTATTAATTTATTATATTTTAGTGCGTTACCTATTTATAGTCTTATTAAATTGTTAGTTTAACTACTATCGTTAATAAACTTATTTGTACCTAAGTAGTTTTTAAAATAGTAAAATATTTAGGTAATCTATCCTGATTTTTGTGACTATGACTTCTTTTATTTTAATATGTTGTTAGATATCCACCTGCATAAATATGTATTTGAATGTTAAAATTTCCTATTGCAGGAGATAATTACGATACAACGTTAAAAGAAGTCAATTATAAAACAGAAATGAGATTAACCATTAATCAAGTAAAAGAAGAACATTTCGGTACGTACCATTGTGTTTCGAAAAACTCTTTAGGCGCAACGGACGGGCCTATCAAAGTTTATAGTAATATAACATACTAAAACAAACCAATATAATAATTGTATAAACCTAAATGTTTTTTTGAATAGAATTACCAGGAAAAAACTGGAACAATAATTATCAGACGTCCGTGACGGCTTCAAATAACGGCCTGCAGCATATTACAGGTATAATAAGTAGTACTAAAGTAGGTACCTAATAAAGGCATAAAACATTGTCATAAATCATAACTCATAAGTATATTTACTGACTGTCTTCCGTACAATCTTGACAAAATGTATAGGTAATTAATTTTTGGTTTATTTTTTAAAAATATCACACAGTAGAAGCGGCTTATTAGGAACACGGATAATTGATACAATCGGTTAATTGACACATTTCACCTAGGTCCAAATGTGTTCCTAATAAACGGCTTCTACTGTATATTCTGTATATTAACTATATTTACGGTCCCATAAGAAGACAACAAAATCTAATATACTTAAACATCTTCTCAAACTTGCACTTTCAATACAGTAACTATAGTAAATAAATAAGTACCTACCTCATACGTCCTAACTTGTACTACCTATAACATATACGCCAATCTGCAGTTGTCAAAAAACGAAACTTTATAAGGTACACACAGCGTGTATAAGGTAGGTAGTCGTAATAGGTAGGTATTCTAAATAATAAATGGTTCGAATAATCAAATAGCAAATATTATTAACAAATTTTGTCGGATGTATTTCAAACAAGTTTCCCAACTTTTTAGGAGTACCTAACAAAAAAGTGTTTCATTGTTAGGGATTTTGAAAGTATGCACTATTGCAACCTTTGAAAAATTATAATATTAACTTACAAACCTTGATACCTACCGTAATATTAGCACCAATGTCAGCAATTTAGATGGCCCAAAACGGCAAAACCCATGATAACAAACGATTTTATACATAGGCCATGGTGAGATTTTGATTTTTCACAGTGAACATGTCATTGTAATCTCAGAACGAATTAGCATGGCTACACGCGTTTTAAAATCACGAATCTATGGATATAAAAAACGAAAAAAATAGAATTTTTTTATATTGGCCATATCGCAGGGCTCGTAACTTCATGCACTAAAAAATGCATAAATAAGCATGCATCCATGCACTAAAAATTGTCAAAATATGCATTAAAATATGCACTTAAAAGTTCAAAAATATGCATTTATATGCATTAACATTTTTAAATTATGCACTCAAAATATGCATTATGTAAAAAAAACATGACCAAATTTTAAAATAATAAGAATAAATCCATACATTTTAAAAGTATTTTATTCCTTTTAATTTTTATATATTTAACAGTCAAAATTAATAAAATAAAAAATAAAATTAATACTTGTGAAGTTCAAATAGCTTTGTCATCTTTATAAATTTTAATTAGGTAGTCAATTTTGTCTAATTTGTGTACACCCTTATTCAGCACCAACAATGAAAACATTTGGAATGAAATATTAGGTTTTTCATTTTGAGATAATTTAGTAATATATATTTTATAAGTGTTTTTTTTTATGTTTTCCAACAAGAGGGCGCATTAGTAGACAAAATATGGCATAAAACCATGGTTTCGTAATTCAAGTAATACGGCTTATTGAAGTGGTTTACAGTAAAAATTCCTATTATAAAAATTGTAAAGTAGAACTTTTTTTACAATCGTGAGAAGCCTGATTTTCGATATTTTTATTAATTAGATAAATAATTACTCAATAAAAAATGTAAAAAACCGTTATAATTTACCATGCGATATTGGACGATTGGAACAAGATCTCAAAAATAGGAAGAAACTTTTCAAATATTTGTCTAAAAAATATTTTTATGAAATAATATGCACTAACGACTGTAAAAAATCAACTATATGCCAAATATGACTTTACACCCAAATAATTACTCTTAAATATTAAATGTTTGCAAGAAGCAGTATTTATAAGTTAAAAATGATAACAAATAAACAAAAAAAATATACAAAAACATTTATAAAATTATTTAGCTGATCGATAGAGAAGCAAATTGTTCTCCGATGCTTATTAGTTGTTCAACACCGGTTTCTTTACATCCAGACGCTTGAGCAGTGTCAGCCTTGCCTCCACCTTTACCATTAATACATGATGCTATTTTGGTCACCCATTTATTTGCCATGAGCCCTTTTTTGTTTAAGTCTTTAGAAACAACGCATTGGCAATATATTCTTTTGCCTTCTGCATCTTCAGATAATAACATAATTGATATATTACTATATTAGGCATGTCTGCCTTCAACAATTTCAATACTGCATCCATTACTTTAGTATTGGAGCCTACATCGAGCATATAAATAAATACAGTTTTGTCTGACTCTGAACTTATCTTTGTCTTAATTGATTTTGCTACTTCACTGGCTAGAGCTACTAGTTGTTTTCGCTCTTCCTCGGCAATACCTTTTTTTAAACCTGATAAGACGCTTCTTAGCTCTTCTTTTACCCAATACGGTATTACAGACTTATTTATCTTATCTTGTGTATCAATTATAGCTTTAGATAAATTTACATCCTTAGAATCTAGTTTCATCACATCTTTTTTCAGTTCCTTGCCTCTATTATATGCTTTAGTTGCTTCTGGACCAGTTACAGCAACTATTCTTCGTATTCCCTTAGATATTGCTTCTTCTGAGAGTATGGTAAAACATTCCATGTGTCCAGTTTTATGCAAATGAGTTCCTCCACAAAATTCTACAGAAGTTTCTAATCCTGAATTTCCTTCCGGATCTGTTAAAAGTTTATCTACAGCAACTCCTACTGAAACTACCCGCACTGGATCCGGGTAAGTTTCATCAAACATAGCACGTAAGCCTTTTATACGTTTGGCATCGTTTAATGGTGCAATTTTAGCATATACAGTATCATTTCGTTTAATTACTTCATTTGTAAGTTTTTCCACCTTAGCACTTGATCTCCTGTTAAAGCAGCTTTGTTGTTGAAATCAAAACGTAACTTGTCTGGGGCGACAAAAGATCCTTTTTGATTTAAATTATCGCCCAAAATCACGCGTAAAGTATGATTTAAAGTGTGAGTAGCAGTATGGTTATTCATTACAAATCGCCTTCTTTTTTCATCAATCTTCAAAACCACTTTGTCGCCCACTTTTAAGCTACCACTTTCAAGAATTCTAACATGCAAAATATATCCACCACGCAATTGAACATTATTAACATAAAACTCTGTGAATTCATCAGTGACCATAGATTCTTGGTCATAGATTTGACCCCCCTGTTCAGCATAAAAACATGTTTTATCCAGTATAATTCCACATTCTTGAAATGTATCTACTTCATTAACAAACTGATTTATTAATTTGATACTTAATACTGTTGATGTACATGTTTCAAACGTATATTCAGCGTCTGCGTCATCAGATACAGCTTTATAATTATACTTTGGTGAATCGTCCGTTGTCGATATACCTTTTGTCTGTAAATCTGCAAGAGCATAAACATCCAGGGAGATTACCTCTTTATCACCACCAACCTTGTTCTGACTAATAAGTTGTGCTTTTTTTTTTGTTCTTCATATGCTTCCATGTCAATAGTAAATCCTTTTTCTTCAACCATCAAGTATGTAAGGTCTACAGGGAAGCCATAAGTATCATACAGTTTCCAAGCAACTTCACCAGGTATAACTTTGTCAGTCAACTTCAATATAGTTCTATTTAAAAGATTACGACCTCGCGATAAAGTTCTCAAAAACTGTTCTTCTTCTTCATTAATGATTTCTATTATCTGTTGAGGGTCTTTGGTTATTTCAGGTAATGTATCCCCAAGTAAATCGACAACAACATTTACTAAAGTTGCAAAGAATCCAGGTTTGACATTTAACTTTTCTGTAGCATAACGAACAGCACGTCTAAGAATACGCCTCAACACATACCCTCAACCAGTATTATCAGGACTTCCTCCATCAGATAACGCAATTGTTAATGTTCGTGCATGGTCAGCAAGTGCTCTATAAACCATATCTTTCTGATCAATGTCATCTGCACCTACTTTACCTTCATAAGGTGGAGCATTTGTACCATTTTAAATAGCTACAAACAAAGGTTGAAACAGATCGGTATCATAATTTGAACGTTTATCTTGTATAACCGAAACAAGACGTTCAAATCCCATACCACAATCTATATATTTTTAGGTAGATTATGTAGAGTACCTTCTTGATTGCGATTAAATTGCATAAATACAAGATTCCATATTTATAAAACATCTGGATCATCTTGATTGACTAAATCAGCAGCTAATCGATTACCAATACGATCATAATGTATTTCTGAACAAGGACCACAAGGTCCAGTTTCACCCATTTCCCAAAAATTGTCTTTCATATTGCCAGGAATAATATGATTTTCTGCTAATCCTAATTTCAACCAGATATTTTTACATTCTAAATCTGGTTCCTGTAAAGGCATCGAATTATAATAATTAGGACCTAAATAATCGACGAATTTTTGCTCAAAAGATTTTTTGCAATAAAATACTCTGAAATAAAAAGTCATCAATTCCCTTTTTTTTCTTATCTTTATATCTTATCTTATTTATATCTTATCTTATCTTTTTATTATATACTTAGGTATATACAATATATATAAAAGATACCTTTTTATATACCCTCTCGACTGGTAACACATTCAACGGCTTAAAATGTTCATCAGTTGAACCTACTAAATTATTTCTACCTAAACAGATTCTGACAATTTTTCTTTGAAATAAAATTAGTGGTCTAACCACGTTTTCAATCAAAATTCCCCATACCATAAACCATATTGAAATATTGCCTGGAACAATGATAAATAAATTAAACGATAATGTACGAATGTCTATTACAATATTCTAGACATGCAAATGCCATCTCATATTCTTATTAAAAATGAAGCCCAGATATCTTATACTAGAAACCATGTACCTATGTACATATTATTTGCTGTACTCAATTACACGGTCTACATTTTATACTGGCAACTATAGTTGCCAGTAAACAAAATGAAGACTTTTTTTCCCATTTTAAACCGACGACACGACTCCGTGGGTCTATTCAAGTCTATACAAAAAATTTTACTAGTCAAATTCCTAAAAAAAAAATTGAAGGGGAGCGTTGGCGCCCGCAGGCAAATGCATTTTAGAAAACCAAAAAAAAATTTAGAAAAAATTATACAGTAGGAACACACATTACAGAGTTCAAACTACAATCTCCAGAATCTTAAACAGAAAAAAACAATATTGCCAATGATTAGCTCATTAAAGAATGATAATGCATAGGGCACCTCCAGGTTATCAATATTCAAGTCAGTGCAAAAAATTTAACTAGAGTCAAATTCCTAAAAAAAAAATTGAAGGGGAGTGTTGGTGCCCGCAGGCAAATGCATTTTAGAAAAACCAAAAAAAATTATATACAATTTTAACACACATTAAAGAGTTCTAACTAAAATGTCCGAAATCTTAAACAGAAAAAACTATTCACAATTATTAGCTCATTGAAGAATGATAATACAAAGGGCACCTAAACGTAATCAATAATCAAGTCTATACAAAAAATTCAACTAGAGTCAAATTCCAAGAAAAAAAATTGAAGGAGAGTGTTGGCGCCCGCAGGCAAATTCATTTTAGAAAACCAAAAAAAAATATAGAAAAAAATTTACAGTAGGAAAACACATTAAAGAGTTCAAACTAAAATGTCCAGAATCCAAAGCAGAAAAAACAATATTGCCAATGATTAGCTCATTAAAGAATGATAATTCAGAGGGCACCTACACGTAATCAATAATCAAGTCTATACAAAAAATTCAACTAGAGTCAAATTCCAAGAAAAAAAATTGAAGGGGAGTGTTGGCGACCGCAGGCAAATGCATTTTAGAAAACCAAAAAAAATTTAGACAAAATTATACAGTAGGAAAACACATTAAAAAGTTCAAACTAAAATGTCCAGAATCCGAAGCAGAAAAAACAATATTGCCAATGATTAGCTCATTAAAGAATGATAATACAGAGGGCACCTACACGTAATCAATAATCAAGTCTATACAAAAAATTCAACTAGAGTCAAATTCCTAAAAAAAAAAATGAAGGGGAGTGTTGGCGCCCGCAGGCAATTGCGTTTTAGAAAACCAAAAAAAAAATGTAGAAAAAATTATACACTAGGAAACATATTAAAGAGTTCAAATAAAAATATCCAGAATCCAAAGCAGAAAAAACAATATTGCCAATGATTAGCTCATTAAAGAATGATAATACAGAGGGCACCTACACGTAATCAATAATCAAGTCTATACAAAAAATTCAACTAGAGTCAAATTCCAAGAAAAAAATGAAGGGGAGTGTTGGCGCCCGCAGGCAATTGCATTTGAGAAAACCAAAAAAAAATTTAGAAAAAATTATACAATTGGAAAACACACTACAGAGTTCAAACAAAAATGTCCAGAGTCCAAAACAGAAAAAACAATATTGCCAATGATTAGCTCATTAAAGAATGATAATGCATAGGGCACCTCCAGGTTATCAATATTCAAGTCAGTGCAAAAAATTTAACTAGAGTCAAATTCCTAAAAAAAAAATTGAAGGGGAGTGTTGGTGCCCGCAGGCAAATGCATTTTAGAAAAACCAAAAAAAATTATATACAATTTTAACACACATTAAAGAGTTCTAACTAAAATGTCCGAAATCTTAAACAGAAAAAACTATTCACAATTATTAGCTCATTGAAGAATGATAATACAAAGGGCACCTAAACGTAATCAATAATCAAGTCTATACAAAAAATTCAACTAGAGTCAAATTCCAAGAAAAAAAATTGAAGGAGAGTGTTGGCGCCCGCAGGCAAATTCATTTTAGAAAACCAAAAAAAAATATAGAAAAAAATTTACAGTAGGAAACATATTAAAGAGTTCAAATAAAAATATCCAGAATCCAAAGCAGAAAAAACAATATTGCCAATGATTAGCTCATTAAAGAATGATAATACAGAGGGCACCTACACGTAATCAATAATCAAGTCTATACAAAAAATTCAACTAGAGTCAAATTCCAAGAAAAAAATGAAGGGGAGTGTTGGCGCCCGCAGGCAATTGCATTTGAGAAAACCAAAAAAAAATTTAGAAAAAATTATACAATTGGAAAACACACTACAGAGTTCAAACAAAAATGTCCAGAGTCCAAAACAGAAAAAACAATATTGCCAATGTTTACCTCATTAAAGAATGATAATACAAAGGGCACCTGCACGTAATCAATAATCAAGTTTGTTCAAAAAATTCAACTAGAGTCAAATTCCTAAAAAAAAAATGAAGGGGAGTGTTGGCGCCCGCAGGCAAATGCATTTTAGAAAACCAAAAAAAAATATAAAAAAAATTTACAGTAGGAAAACACATTTAAGAGTTCAAACTAAAATGTCCAGAATCCAAAGCAGAAAAAACAATATTGCCAATGATTAGCTCATTAAAGAATGATAATACAGAGGGCACCTACACGTAATCAATAATCAAGTCTATACAAAAAATTCAACTAGAGTCAAATTCCAAGAAAAAAAATTGAAGGGGAGTGTTAGCGCCCGCAGGCAAATGCATTTTAGAAAACCAAAAAAAAATTTAGACAAAATTATACAGTAGGAAAACACATTAAAAAGTTCAAACTAAAATGTCCAGAATCCAAAGCAGAAAAAACAATATTGCCAATGATTAGCTCATTAAAGAATGATAATACAGAGGGCACCTACACGTAATCAATAATCAAGTCTATACAAAAAATTCAACTAGAGTCAAATTCCAAGAAAAAAAATTGTAGGGGAGTGCTGGCGCCCACCGGCAATTGCATTTGAGAAAACCAAAAAAAAATTTAGAAAAAATTATACAATAGGAAAACACACTACAGAGTTCAAACAAAAATGTCCAGAGTCCAAAACAGAAAAAACAATATTGCCAATGTTTACCTCATTAAAGAATGATAATACAGAGGGCACCTACACGTAATCAATAATCAAGTCTATACAAAAAATTCAACTAGAGTCAAATTCCAAGAAAAAAAATGAAGGGGAGTGTTGGCGCCCGCAGGCAATTGCATTTGAGAAAACCAAAAAAAAATTTAGAAAAAATTATACAATTGGAAAACACACTACAGAGTTCAAACAAAAATGTCCAGAGTCCAAAACAGAAAAAACAATATTGCCAATGTTTACCTCATTAAAGAATGATAATACAAAGGGCACCTGCACGTAATTAATAATCAAGTTTGTTCAAAAAATTCAACTAGAGTCAAATTCCTAAAAAAAAAATGAAGGGGAGTGTTGGCGCCCGCAGGCAAATGCATTTTAGAAAACCAAAAAAAAATATAAAAAAAATTTACAGTAGGAAAACACATTAAAGAGTTCAAACAAAAATGTCCAGAGTCCAAAACAGAAAAAAACAATATTGCCAATGTTTACCTCATTAAAGAATGATAATACAGAGGGCACCTACACGTAATCAATAATCAAGTCTATACAAAAAATTCAACTAGAGTCAAATTCCAAGAAAAAAAATGAAGGGGAGTGTTAGCGCCCGCAGGCAATTGCATTTGAGAAAACCAAAAAAAAATTTAGAAAAAATTATACAATTGGAAAACACACTACAGAGTTCAAACAAAAATGTCCAGAGTCCAAAACAGAAAAAAACAATATTGCCAATGTTTACCTCATTAAAGAATGATAATACAAAGGGCACCTGCACGTAATCAATAATGAAGTTTGTTCAAAAAATTCAACTAGAGTCAAATTCCTAAAAAAAAAATGAAGGGGAGTGTTGGCGCCCGCAGGCAAATGCATTTTAGAAAACCAAAAAAAAATTTAGACAAAATTATACAGTAGGAAAACACATTAAAAAGTTCAAACTAAAATGTCCAGAATCCAAAGCAGAAAAAACAATATTGCCAATGATTAGCTCATTAAAGAATGATAATACAGAGGGCACCTACACGTAATCAATAATCAAGTCTATACAAAAAATTCAACTAGAGTCAAATTCCAAGAAAAAAAATTGTAGGGGAGTGCTGGCGCCCGCCGGCAATTGCATTTGAGAAAACCAAAAAAAAATTTAGAAAAAATTATACAATAGGAAAACACACTACAGAGTTCAAACAAAAATGTCCAGAGTCCAAAACAGAAAAAACAATATTGCCAATGTTTACCTCATTAAAGAATGATAATACAGAGGGCACCTACACGTAATCAATAATCAAGTCTATACAAAAAATTCAACTAGAGTCAAATTCCAAGAAAAAAAATGAAGGGGAGTGTTGGCGCCCGCAGGCAATTGCATTTGAGAAAACCAAAAAAATATTTAGAAAAAATTATACAATTGGAAAACACACTACAGAGTTCAAACAAAAATGTCCAGAGTCCAAAACAGAAAAAACAATATTGCCAATGTTTACCTCATTAAAGAATGATAATACAAAGGGCACCTGCACGTAATTAATAATCAAGTTTGTTCAAAAAATTCAACTAGAGTCAAATTCCTAAAAAAAAAATGAA